TGTTAAGCTAATGTGAACATCTGACTCTAATTAAGGCCCCTCTGATACTATAAAAGGGCTCACTCCAGTCAGACTGAGGAGACCCAGGGAAGAGGAAGTGCGGCTGAAGGGCTGGGTAATGAAGACACCCTCAAGCCACTGGAAAGGGAGCCCTAAGGTAAGGGTGAAGAAGGCATTAAGAGAGGGAAGTGGGGGAGCTGTGGGGAAGTGGCCCAGGGAAATGTAACAACTCTGGCAGTGAAAGGTCGGCTGCCAACAGCTGCTGCTATTAGGGTCCCTGCGCCGGAACCCGGAGTAGAGGGCGGGCCCGGGTTCCCCCCAACCCGCCACTACAGAAACATCTCCTGGGAGAGGAAGACAGGCCCCTGTCAGGACAGAAGGCTCAACTGTTCATGAATAAGCCCATAGGGACAACAGAGACTGTGGGAGTTCTCTCACCAACCTCCTTGCTGGCTTATGATGAAAAGGGCTCAGTAGACTGTACTCTGGCCCTTGAGAGAGAAGGGCTATGTGGAGGGTCGCAGTGAGCCTCTGAGGCTAGTATAAACCGCCTGGAAGCGTGGGTCCCACGGGGACAAGGTCGGAGCTCTGCCACTATATATATATATAAACACCTCTACGCTGATATAACACGAATTCGGATATAACACGGTAAACCAGTGCTCCAGGGAGGCGGGCCTGCGCGCTCCGGCGGATCAAAGCAAGTTCAATATAACGCGGTTTCACCTATAACGCGGTAAGATTTTTTGGCTCCTGAGGACAGCGTTATATCGGGGTAGAGGTGTATATATTCCCTTTTATTGTTAGAAGTTAGTTAGTTAGTTAAAGTTAGTTTAGCTAGTTTATAGTGGTAGGTTTTAGTTTTAGGTCCTTTTTGACTAATTTTTATCATTCAGTGAGAGGATTGGTACAGGAATGATGCCTCACTCACTGAGGTTTAAGGTCTGCCAGTCTTGCAGGAAGCCTATGCCAGTCAGTAGCCCACACCCAGCATGTCTGAAATGTTTGGGAGAATCCCACATCAATGACAAGTATCAAATTTGTAAAGGACTTAAGCCCTGCTCAAAGAAGGATAGAGTGGTGAGGCTCAAGTGTTTACTTATGGAGGCAGCACTTTGACATCCATTGGAGTTGTCACATATGGAAAATGCCCCAAACACACCAGCTTCAGTATGGAATGCCCCACAGGAGATGTCTGTGGCTTTTGGTCCCTTTCACCAGTGCCAAAGAAAAGGCACAGTCCCTCCTCAGGTTCAGTAGCACGCTCAGGAGCGGGTGAGGTTCTGTGGCCTGTAATGTGCTAGATCATCACGATGGTCCCTTCTGACCTTAAAGTCTATGAGTCGAAGTCTAAATTTGTCAGTACTGAAGCCGGGTAGAGGCAGAGACTCTGCAAGACATTCGAGGGAGAGATACTCTCTAAAGCAGACGTTCCCTAAGAAGAAGGGATTGCTCTCTGGAACCTGTGCCCGGTCCGTTGAGGCTGTCCACTGAAAGATCCTTGTAGCAGGGTCATCAGTCGTTGCCACTTTCAACTACTCCAGAGGTGTGTGCAGCCACAAGGCACCTGCTTAGACTCTCGGTGGCAATATCCCTGGAATGGAAGGTAATGGAAGGCTTACAGTAGGTACCTGTACCTGTGGGTCTCCTACTTCACCATGTCAGGAACGGGGTACCGTTATCTCCCAAACTTCCACAAAAGCCAGTGCAGTTGAGAGGAAAGCCTCCGATGATATCCCCATTACCACTGTCCCCGGGCTCAAGCTTCCTATCCCCAGATCCAATTACTTTTGCTCCTCCATTTTCAGAGGTTTCAGACTTGGAGGTATGTTTATCTGTGTCCCAATCAAGAGGGAAAGCCTATGCTTCATCAGAGACTTGGAGAGCATGGGTCATGCAGCAATCACAGCACTGGGTTCCTCCCAAGGGGCAATGGCCAGGGCAAGGATGGGTCCCATGCCCATGTCAGTGGACATTCTGGACTCTGTGGGACACCCCTTCTCCTGATAGGATCTCCCCACAATTCTCATTCACTGTCCTCAAGGTCACTCCCATGCGGCACTACAACTGTGACATTATTCTCCAGTTCCCGATACCGAGATTGGTATTGAGCAGCCAGAAGTCACTCTGCTGTCTTCTCCAATACAGCACCACCTCAGAATCCTGTTGCATCTTCTTCCTCATCACCAGGTCAGGCTGTTGAGGTAGCAAGCGATTCGCCACCACCAGAGGACCACAGGGTCATCAAAATCTATTAAGAAAGGTATCCTCTGTTCTGGATATTCAGTCAGAGGAGTTGTGTTGAAAGGTTGGTGGATGTTCTGGTATCGGCGGCCCCTACAAGAGTGACTCTGCAAAGCTATTATGCAGTTAAGGCATCCTGGCAGACACACTCCTCCTTGCCTCCTGAAGCAAAATAAGCGGAGAGAGGAGGTATTATATCCCCTCTAAGGGATGTGAACAATTGTGTTCTCATCCTGCCCCAGGCTCCTTGGTAGTGGCAGCTGCTAACAAGCAGAAGAGACAAGGACATGAAGCATCAACACCAAAAGGCAAAGATTCTCATCTTTGTGCAGATCACAGAATCATAGATTAGGATTGGAAGAGACCTCAGGAGGTCATTTAGTCCAACCCCAACTAAATCATCCCAGCCAGGGCTTTGTCAAGCTGGGCCTGAAAAACCTCTAAGGATGGAGATTCCACCACCTCCCTAGGTAACCCATTCCAGAGCTTCGCCACCCTCCTAGTTAAATATAGTTTTTCCTAATATCCAGCCTAGACCTCCCACACTGCAACTTGAGACCATTGCTCCAGATAACACAAATCGAGGGGGGGGGGGAGACATGTTGCAAACACTTTGGAAGATAAAGCTAAAATTCAGAGGGATCTTCATAAATTGAAGAACTGAGCTATAGACAACAAAATGAAATTCAACAAAGATAAAAGTAAAATTAAATGCACAAATACAGAGTGGTGGATAACTGTTCATCTTCAGCAATGTCCCTTCACATTCAGGTGGACCTTTGGAGGACCATGTTTTATTGCTGCAGACTATGCAACAACCTAGACCCACTCCAAATCTTCTGTCCTTGATTTTATTTTATTTTATTTTATTTGAGAGAGCGAGAGAGAGGACTTGCAGGTAACAGTTTCTGCTGTCTTCCTCCCAGCTAGTGTAGAACCAGCTAGCTGTGCTGTTCACTTGCACAAGCACCAAGGCAGTCATGATACTAGGACTCCCAGTATGGCCTTCCTGGAACATGGACTCTCAACCTAATTTCCTAAACTCTTTTTAAAAACCAAATAAAACCTTTTAATGCTCTCTGAAGTGTTGTTTTCCCTTATATATCATCTTCATAATTACTTTTACCTCAGATTTTTTTTGGGTTATCCAGCTGGAATCATTGTCCATAGAAGAGTCTTGTCTTCAAGTCTTCCTGGACATTTGTTCTCAGTCTGGTTCCTAATTTGTATCCATACGGAACTATTCCTTTCACATAATTTGAAAGATGTTCTTTATTTTTTAATTTTTTTAAACCAGCACATCCAACAGAAAAGTTGGTTCACAAATTGGAGTACAGACCTGTAAATTATCTGGATAGAACAGTCTTGGGAAAAATTAAATGTCCTTCTGTTCTCTGTGTTGGACATAAGATAGAAGAAAGCTCCAAAGGCCTCTGTCTAATAACAAATTACCCTTGTAATCATGTTAGCATATCTCTTCCAATGATATAATCCTAATTTAAAATGTTTTAACAGAGGAAGTACGTAGGTTGAGTATTGTATTTTGTCCACTTGCCTTTTAATAAAATTATAAAGGAAAAAAGTGTAATTATACAGGCTAGAACGTACACAAAAGTATTTTTAGTTTTGGACTTTTGACTTGGTCAAACTCAGAAAGATCGGATTGGTCTAATTGATTACTAATTAATAACTATAGACCAGTGAACACAGATTTTACTATATTAATCTATGTCAAAGACTATTTTATCAGAAAAATATGGCTCTGCAGTTCCAGAAGAGGCAGCTGATATACTTCTATTTCCCATTGGGATGGTTTGGAATTTATCCAGTCAACCAGGCTTTTGTTGTTTGTTTCTCAGTTTTACTTTTAGTGATGTATGTGTACTTGTATTGTGTACAGTTGTTTAAAATTAAATTTTGCAAAAACTGAGTAGTGTCGGAAGATTCTTCTAAATATAAGGAACAGCACACAAGAAAGCAGGATATAATGGGAGGGTACCTAAGGAGGGAGGCTAGAATTATTGTTCTTTGTTGGTTTTGTTCATGAAAAAGCACTCACATGGCTTACATAATAAAATCTGAAGATAGGTAATTTTTTCCAAAAAAGACAAAAGTCAGCCCTGAATGTTCATATGGGGGAGAGTTTGTAAGTTTAGTCTTCCCACTGTTTTAGATCTGTAAGTTTAGTTTTAGTGTAGGAAGCCCTGGTAGAACAGGTTTTATTTTGGAGCTCTTGTATACAACTCAAATGGCTGCCTTCTTTACAAAAACGCAATTACACAGAGTATTTACAACCATTTATTTCTTACGTTGATGCTAAGCTTGGCTTTTAATATACTTGAGTTAACCACTTTCCAGCTATTGCTGGAGTGGTTTTAGTGCTGGGAAAATCATCCTTTGAAGGCAGTGATCGAATACTTACATCTTTCATGAATTTTAATTACAGTATTTTAAAATAACTTGAATTGCATTTAACTCATAAGATTTGAAGCTTGAAAGTGCAAAAAATGCATTAATATTGTGTGGGATGTATATTGTTCAATTTAAGCTTATATTTAAGTAATGAGTCTAGTTAAAAACACACCATCCCTCTATGTTAATATACCATTAAAGAATCCAACCTCAGAAGTGATGTAATCAGCTATTTTTCAGTGTATTTAGAAGTTTCATTTGGAGACCTTCCATATTTCTTTCTATCAGTACTACATACAGATTAGTTTGTTTGCTATATTACCTGTATGTCCTGTCTTACACAGCTCTGAAAAATTTCTGTTACTGGCGGGAGGGAGCCTGGAGATCAGTGATATCACAGAAGATGATGCTGGGACATATGCCTGCATTGTGGATAATGGGAATGAGACAATTGAAGCTCAAGCAGAACTTGCAGTTCAAGGTATGTCGAATGTTTAGTTTTGAGAAAGAACTGATCTCCACGTATGTGAATATATTATGGAGTTTGTTCTTCCATCTTCATTGACTTCAAAAGGGATTCAGTTTTTTGTTCTTTCTACAATAAAACCAAAACCAACAACCTCAGTTGGTTTCCTAGAAATGTCACATGATTATACTTATGCTGTTTTGTACTCTTTGTATTGTTCATGATTTCATAAACGCTCAAATGAGGAATTAAATTTTTATACATATGTATTAACCACATTGAAGACAGTTGCACACATCAGATGATTACGACAATATTAAACGTTTGGCACTGTAAACTTTCCTAAAGGGAACAGTCTCTAGGTTATTAGGACTGAAAGTTGACCTACCTTTATTACCTTCTAGGTCTTACCTGACAAGGACACTGTCACAGGTATTTTTCATAATCCGTAAAGATGTTACTGTCTTAGAGTAACCCACTGGAAAAATATAAAACTGAAATAAATTTATTCACCTTATTTCCTCTTCTTTTGTGTGCGTACCATTTACATGTAAGGTTGCTCATGAATGCTATTTTTTTTAATAGAAATAACATTGAGACATATATTTAAAGACACACTTTCAGTTATGTAAACTTTGCAAAGAAGTATACAAATAAGGTAAGTTCTCTAGAGGGCACAGAAAGTTAGGTGAAATGTTGGCACCTCTTAATCCTTGCCATGTCTCGCAAGGGATCTCAGGTATGAATTTTTAATTGGAACTTTGTTCTACTGCAATATATAGAAATGCCCCCAAATGCCTGATTGGTGCATATATACTGCATCTTGTCATAGAGCATGACTGATTTATTTACAGTGGGTTGCACAGTAATGACGGCTGCTTTTATAAAAACAATTTTAAAAAAACCCACAACATTGTTCTGCAGAGGTTGCATTTCATTATGTTTTAATGGTAGTATTAGCCAATCTTATAATAGTAACTATGTCATAATATTAGAGCTTTTCATGTTTCATAATAAATGAGAACAACAGTCCTGTTTTAAAGACAATTCATTTCTATAGACAACATTTGTCTCTAATGGTATTACCTTTTATTAGTTTGTCCTCCTAAGAAAGGAAAGTGACTCTGCAACAGAGTGTTTTGCTTTACAAACCAAACCAAAGCTAATTCTGCATAGTTGGAATCTGGACTAATTACTTTTTTCCCTTTAGGAAATCAATACATTTACAATTCATTTTACTGTTTGCAGATGCTAAGATTTTTGATCCCATTAATTAGTGCTGACATAATTAAGACTGGAAATAGACATAAATACACTTTAAATTGTCTAGAAGGAGAGAAATACTGAAGCTGAAACTTACTGTATATACTCATTCATTAGTCCGTTCGTTTATAAGCCGACCCCCCAAGATGGCTAGGTAAAAATAGCAAAAACTGTTTTTAAAGTTTTTAAGGTCAGGCTTGACAAAGCCCTGGCTGGGATGATTTAGTTGGGAATTGGTCCTGCTTTGAGCAGGGGTTTGGACTAGATGATCTCCTGAGGTCCCTTCCAACCCTGATATTCTATGATTCTATGACCCTTTTATAAGCCGACCCTATATTTCAGGGGTTGGCAAACTTTGGCTCCCGGCCGTCAGGGTAAGCCACTGGAGGCGCGGGATTTTTTGTTTACTTGGAGTGTCTGCAGGCATGGAGCCCCTCAGCTCCCATTGACTGGGAACGGTGTGGCATGTGCCGGAGCTAAAAGCTTTTCATAGCAGTGCCCGTTGACCCGCACATGTGTCATGTATCCACAGGGAGCTGAGGGGCTCCGTGCCTGCAGACACTCCAGGTAAACAAAATGACAATATATTAGATATTCAATTCAATGATTCCCTTGAGTTTAAAATCATCAAATTTTGGTGTAGACCCGTTTATAAGCCGACCCCCGCTCTTTGATGCATTATTTTTTTACCAAAAATATTTGGCTTATGAACGGGTGTATATGGTAATATACATGTACATAAAGCCAAGCACACAGAGTCAGTATACTGCTTTAGGGAGTCCAGAGTAATAAGCACAACTTTCTGTGACAGAAGTGTCCCTCAAATGTATATTCATTGAACTCTGTCTTAAATTTTCATAAAGTAGCAAGGTGGGTGAGGTAATATCTTTTATTGGACCAACTTCTGTTGGTGAAAGTGCCAAGCTTTCGAGCTACACAGTACTCTTCTTCTATTTCATGGAAATCTGCTCTCTTCAGATGAGGTCATTTAGATGTGGAGAGGTGCCTTCCAGGCTACTTCCAACCTTCTATGCTGGTTCAGGTTCCCTCTCTATTCAAATTAGTAGAGTCTTGTATTTATGGTAGTTAAAATCTAGTTCAGGGTTCAAGGCATATTTATCTATGGTTGTTAGGAAGCTTTAGGAGTCTCAACTGAAGCACTAGCACGTCCCAAAGTCTGATATTGCCAAAAAATCTTTGTATGCTGTCTCCGTTTTCTGGCAGGGTGGAACTATACCCAAGTGTATTGTCCTGGCATACCAGCTCTGGAAAAGGAAAATGAGCAGATGGGGAAAATTGGCTAGTGGTCTATTTTTAACCATTGAATTTATATACTGTATTTTCTGGCGTATAAGACTACTTTTTAACCCAGGAAAATCTTGGAAAAGTTGGGGGTCGTCTTATACGCCCAGTCGTCTTATACGCCGGAAAATACGGTAGATATATTAAAAAAAAAAAAAAAAAAAACAACGAACACAACAAAGCAAGCCATGATATAGTGTTAAATGGTTCAGAAAGTTACCTTTCAAGAGTGCTTACCTCTGGGATATTGGGTTATAAAATACATGTTAAAAGCCTCCTCTTAAAATTTACATAATTTGTTGTGAAATATTAGGTCACAGAATATCAGATTTCATATTGTCTATTTCCTCCCTGTAATCTTAATGTTAAATTAACAAAGGAAAATTGCTCACCTGAAGATTATTGGACAATATTCTTTATGGGATTGCATATTAAGAAGGTGCAAAAATTTGGCTGCCTACTGGTTGGAGGGAGTATTCTACTGGGAGCAAATTACCAGTGCTCAATCTGCACTAGTTGCTTGTTAGTTTCTAGATGGAATAAAATATATTGGTATTGACCTGTGAAGTCCTAACTGGTCTGGGAACTTCCTGTCTGAGAGCATGCTTCTCGCCTCATAAAATGCTGTTATGGTAGTTATCGGGCATTTAAGCTGGAGCCTGCTTGGTTTAAAAGTAAAGGGTTTTGTTGAGAAGTTATTCTTTTTGAGAGCTGCTTCTCTTTGGAATTACTTCCATTTGATCCAAAATCATGAGAATCTGTTGACCTTCAGCGTATGCTGCAAATGCCATCTATTGATCTTGACTCCAGGGCAGGGAGAAGAAACTTGGGGAGACTGGTGTGCCTTTTTTTCTGTGTATTTATATGCAGGCTGATACATATCTATGCAAGGTGGATTATGTGAGACCCTGTGTGTTGTGTGTTTAGATGGTTAAGAAGCTGATTATGTATTTTACAGGATCGTCAAGGGGACTCAAACTTTTTTATGTAGAAGTGGAAATAAAATCAAAGCTATGAGACAAACTAAAGAAAGCAAAGAAAATCAAAGTTAAGATTGACACTGCATCCTTAACTTGTCCCATTGTGTCTGGCCATTTGGGTATTAAAAGAATCTGAGATCAGTGTTAATGTGTGACACTGAAACAACCAAGCATAATCAGACAGATCTACAATGATGTTGGCTTTACTTCTGACATTCATTTGTTTGGTTGTGTCAAAACTTTAATATTTTTTTGAAAGTTAGTCCTTTTATGCCAATCAGTTGCTATAGAATTAGCAACAAGAACATCTGACTTCTAGTATCAAAGCATTAGAGAAAAACTATTTTTCTTCGAGTGATGGTCCCTATATGAATTCCAGACATGGGTGTGCATGCGTGCCATGTGCCGGAGCCAAAAGGTTTTCGTAGCAGTGCCCGTTGACCCGCACATGTGCCATGTGTCTCCCTTGCAGCTGAGGCTGTAATAGGCTGTGTGGGTTGACGCTGCTCCGGTTCCCTCTTACCACCACATGGCTGGAGTTGGAACCCCTTTGTCCCTCCACGCTCTTGGCTCTGTTAAACTAGTGATTTTTCTAGTACCTTTCTGTATATAATTGTCTGAATAGTTGTTCCTAGTTGATAGTCATTAGTTAGTTCATTCAGTATGTTCAGTTACAGTAGCTTTCCCTCCAGTTTCGGGGTTGACATTCTTTGTCCAACAGCAGTGCAAACAACAGTTTTAATGTGTTGGTCAGGAACGGCTCCTACTCCCACCTGCAGCACCCCATGTCATCTTTGGGGGCCAACTTGCTCCATTCGCCCACAATCGGGGCAAGATCGCCATGGACAGTTGAGTACTGGAGATCATCCATCAGGGTACTCCATAGAGTTCCTGCCTCATTGCCCACCCTGGTCCCTCCATGGGGACTCCACTCATCAATCCCTCCTGCAATAGGAAGCTGGTGCTCTTCTCCTCAAGGGTGTCATAGAGCCTGTCCTGCTTTGCTACTGGGACAGGGGCTTTTACTCCCCATAGTACTTCATCCCAAAGAAGGGCAGGGGACGGCGACCCATTCTGGACCTTTGAGTAGTCAACAGATTTTTCCAGAAATCCAAGTTCTGCATGGTGTGCTAGCGTTGATTATTCCCTCCTTCCCTCATGGAGCCTGGTTTGCGGCTATTGACCTGAATGATGCCTATTTCCACATGGATATTCACCCTGCCCAGTGCAAGTTCCTCCAGTTCACTACTAATTTCAAGTCCTCCTCTTTGGTATTGCGACAGCTCCCCGTGTCTTCACCAAAGTCTTTGCCATTGTCGCCACCCACATACAATGCGTCTGCTTCTCCATGTTTCCTTACCTGGATGACTGGCTCTTCACGGTGCTCTCCCAACAAGTCTTCATCACTGCCATCATAGTTCCTTGTGCCCTCCTCATCTCTTTGGGCATTTGTATCAATGAGGAGAAGTT